TCGAAGAGTGCCCCAATCTTGTGAAGAAAATCAGACTTGAGATCTTCATACCAAGCTTTCAAATAGGTGTCGAGAGCCATTTAGTGACAGCTGTCATGGACCGTTAGAGCTAATCAGGCTCCAGACTGGACTCACGGCACCCCGCACTCGGTATTGAACTTGATACAATCCAACGGTGTGCAGCATATTCTTGCTTGATCTCACAAGTTGATATTGGCTTTCTCTTTGGTTTCTGTCTCCACGCCACATTCGGTCCCAAATAGCGAGCCGCAGTTCCTTCCAGCGTTCCCTTCCCTTCTTCCAGTAAGTACCAGGTACCTTACCTAAACCAATTCAACGAACGCCCAGAATATTTTGACACTTGGGAATGGATCCCGAACCCGATATACCCCCCTTCTACAGCTACACGTCCCCGAGTCGGTCGGACACAAAGAAATCATCTCGCTCTTTCCGCTCTCTTCGGTCCAAGATTCCGGGATCAGGAAAGACGGATAGCCCCCGGGATTCGACGACAGTTGCCAACGACGACCCCTACCAAGATCGCAAACCCATGACACCGGGTTCCAGTTCCCAGGAGAATGATGGAGAAGAATTCGAGAATGATGGCTTGCTTGTGAAACTGGGGCATGGCCAGACGGGCAATAAGATGTCTGTTCGGCCGGTGCTGCCGCGTTCCCGCAGGGCACCACCGAGTATGCCTGCGGTTCCTACCAACTCCAGGGCCGTACACTTTGACTCCCACCTAGAGCACGTACGACATTTTCTCCAACTTGATCGACCGCTTGCAATCAGTGGCGCTTCGCCGCCACCTGATATCGTCGACAGTGACAGCGATTATCCTTTTCTTGGAGGAGATCGCTCCAGCAGTGTTTCTCGGTCCAACCTCTACGAGTGGACACTCATTGTGACAAACTTCCCGGAGGACACAGAGGCGCGGAAGGCTATGCCAGTTCGACTGGAACGGGTCTGGCTTTCGGAGGATCAGAAGTGTCTTAATGGTTGTATTAGCGTCGCCAACTTGGATTCTGTAAAGGTTGTCGTGTGCAGGTTTACCCTGGACTACTGGAAAACGACATCTGAAGTCGTGGCCGAGTATTCGAACGAGATTCTTCCCGATACAACACCCCGAGAACGTTTTACCTTTACGATTAAGCTATCGGACGTCCCGAATCTGGAGACGAAGATGCTCTTCCTTTGTATCAGATACCGTGTTAACGGTCAAGAATTCTGGGACAATAACAGCGGCTTGAACTTCCAAGTCGACTTTCGAAAGAAACTTCTCCCCCAACGCAGCGAGATACGCTTCCGGGGTAAGTTCTGGGACAATGCACAGGACGACTTTGGTGCCTCCTTCGCAGCTGGCATCCAAGCCGCTAAAGACTCCCTGGCCACCGAATCCGGTAGCCCGAATATGAAGAGTCAGGGGATTATCAGTACCACAGCTTCCGAAGGCAACCAGGAGGTGGCTGCTGGCAGCAGCTCCGCCCCTAATCCTATTTCTGGATTTCCGTTCGGGGTCCAGAAATCCGACGAGAAGCGACAAAGCTTTCATAGCGAAAGGGGATGCTCTCCCAGACGCCCATCTGGGAGCGACCGCTCACCTCAAACCGAGCAGCAAGACGCAGACAACCGACTGGAATTCATGAAACCGCTAAGCAAAACCCTCGAAAGACCGGTAAGTTCGTCTCCGGACCGGTTCGATGACTATGCTTTTAAGGAGGGAAAGGGTCCCGGGGAGGACGCCAATAACTCAGACGACGACATTGAGACCCACCTGCCAGGAGATAATCAAGTCGTGGGAGTGACATATTGGAGAAACACTACGCCGAGAGAAGAGGTTCCTGATCCGAAAGTCGACCCGAGCATACAAAACCCATACTCTACTTTTTTGGGCTTCGCCGATTCGGGTGCCCTAGAGACGCCGCAAACCATAATCCACGAAAATCCAGAGACTATTCTGGACACACCGGAAAGGGATAACGATGATGACTACACGGATTCCGATCAAAGTTCAGATATTTCCTCCCTGTGGGATGCCACAAGCTCGGAAAGGTCCTCCGCGGCGACCTCTGGGCTTCCGTCTGGGCCCATTAGGCTTTCGATGCAAGAGTTGGCCGACGTCATATTGGATGACAACGCCGGACTCGCGGTCACCCTGATGGCCGCCATGACACATCCCAGTCTTCGGTCCGAAGATGTGCTTGAGGAGTTTAAGCGCCTGATGGGATATTACTACCGAGACCTGAAGAAGTCATCGACCTCTCCGGACCTGGATCGGATCGCCCGGCTCTTCAAAAAGTCGAGCGGAATCATAGCTAATGAGGCGAGAAAACTACTTGGCTTACTTCACGCAGCACCGCTATTTCCGGATCCAAGAGAAAAGATGAGCCAACGGGAAAAGAACGAGATGATTCAGTATCTGTTGGAACAAGCAGCAGGGCGATCTGATGGCGAAGTAATGGACGGAGAAGATGATGGTAGCGAGGAAGACGACGAGAATGAATACCCCGAGATATCTGCCGCCAGAGCCTTCCTTAAAGATGGTGCCCCAATGCAAAAGTTCCAAGCGGACTTGCGTCAGTTCATCCTCGACGCGGCCCGAGACCATGACGTGCCCATGTGCACCGAGTCTCTGCCGCGCTCGCTGCCAAACATGGTCGACGAGATCTGGTGCCGACTACGACTCAACCTGCCGGAACCACGAATCTCGCGCGGGAAGCGGCGAATAAGATGGGACCTGTGTAAGCAGAATATGCTTCATCAAACAAGTTGGTTGTCCACCACGAGTTGGAGCTGATAGATGTACTTTATAGTCATGTGGAGTCAAGCTCTACGACGACTTCGACGAGCGACTCGACAGCACCGCCCTGAATGAGCTGGAGAGATGTCTCAACAGGGCCAGTTCAACAAAGCGCAACAACAACAGCTGCCAGAACGAGGGCAAGAGTATCGTCTCGCGGGCATGGAGCTGGGTGGCGAGACATACTCCCCTGTTGAGCCTCCAGCCCGGGAGCCGATCAGCGGAAATGGACCTACCAACATATAATTCAACAACGACGACCAACTCGACCAATGGTGAGAACTCAACGAGGTCAACTGAGCCGACGAGACTTCTATACCTTCTCTACTGCACCTCGAAGGGCACATACGGCGTCAAGTTCCATCAAAACCTTATACACGACAAGCTGAACGACCAGGAGCTATTCAGGTTCTTACGAACCGTCTACACCCGCGCAAGAAAAGAGACTAAATGGCTGACGCTTCGCACCACGACCAACATCAGCTTATGCAAGGTATGTTCCTGAACTAATTACCATTACTGTCAGCTACTATCTACAAGTCATCTATTTGCTAACAATCACCCTGATCTAATTCAGTTCTTCGTCGACAGCAGTCACTACGCCTCCGTGCGGAAGCACGACCAGGGGTGTAACGTTCTAGAGGGTACACGAGGCTGCGTCTGTCTGCCTCCCTCAAACCTCGTCGGACCAGACCGCGAGTACCTATGCCACCCAATCCCGCCGAACCTTCTGCCGCCGTTTGAGAAGAACTACCTGATGCACTACTTCCTCCACCCGGAGGACCTGTCGCCCGACCAGGCCTGGGCGTTCACGCAGTTGCCCAAGAGGATGGACAGCACGCTCCAGCCGGGGACCGAGAGCTTCGTGCCGGGCTGGGGCATCTACTTCGAAGACGGGTGGCACTTCAAGACGATTTATCTGCTGGTCTCGCTGGCCACGGTCGTCGGTAGTTTGATTTTTGGGGTCTGCTGGGGCGTTTTGAAGCTGGACGTCCAGGGCGCGTTCGGGATCACGGGCTACTGGGTCGCGGTCGTCGGTATGGGCTTAGGGTTTCTGACGCTCCGGAGTACGGATAAGTTGTGATGAGTGCCAGGCGAGGAAATAAAGTGAGGAGCTCAATCTTTCTGCCATCTTCATAAAGCACCTTGGGTTCAGTGACCCGCGTAGAATTTGTCCTGCTCGTATTCCATCATCGTATATTCGGTATCGCGGCATCGTTGCGAATCCTATCCCTGTAATATTCAGGCTGAGAGATTCCGAGTCAGCTGAGTGCTCTTATGGATGACATGCCTTCCATGTCGCCAGGGGAGAGAATGATGGTCGGCTAGCCTATGAGACAGAGGATTATTCAGTCTATTCATAATGTTCATATTAAGTGTAAGTCTAACATGACGCTGCCACATAGGTAAGCAATCAAAGTACAACGCGTGAACGGCCCCTTGGCTTCCTGAGTCTTTTCTCGCGTGCCGGGCTGGTGACGGACCACGAGCAGTTTGACTGCTACTGTTGGAGCGGGCGAGCGAGGCCATTTTCCAGACCAAGACTGGACACTGCGCGTTTCTGTCCCTGTCTCTGTCAGCCCAATGGATGACTGCCTATTCCTCGACGACGTGGGCTACGGTGGAGATGTGGGGGGTGCTGGAGGTGCGTAGGTAGACGCGTCATGGCGTCTTACACGCGGAGGGGCGCGTGTGTAGATGCTCATGTCGACAGCAGCGACGCGGGCTGCACATCCAGCAAGCAGGAGGTCGCTCGGGGTTTTTTTGGGTGTAGAGAGCGGGGAGTCGGAGACGGGTGCATGCCAGTGGTGCTAGAAAATAGATCTAGATGATGAGGAGGCTGTGGTCACAGTCACAATTCACATGAGAGCATCAGTCCAGGTGTAGGCGGTTATTCTCACCAGCAACTAGGGGTTGAGTACGATGTAGGCACATACCTAAGTACTAGCAGAGCAGGGCATGTAAAACGTGGGTCAATGAAAAGAGGCGTCCCACGGAATTCCTGCCTGACTTGCCAGGCAGGACACTGACAGAGAGGAAGCCTGAGCAAGCTCCCTGGCCAACCAAGACACGCTTTTCATCTGTTCCCGGCGCCGTACCTTCCCTCCAGCAGAAACAAAACAGCGTGGCCGGCTACCCACGGACCAGGAGGCAGTACATAATCCACTAAACAGGCGTCCCTATCAATAACAAAAACGACACCCGCGTGGTGTAACGGTAGCACATTTTCTCGAGTTCTACCTAGCGAGCAAGTGCAGTTGGAGTAAACTCTTGGAAGAGGTCCATGGTTCGAGTCCTGGGGCGGCTAATCTCATCTTTTTACTTTTTATGTAGTTGCCTTCCTTTCTCATTATGCCTTTGAATTCATTCTCGTCATTCTCCCTTGCATCTTCCTTTCGATGCAAAAGTGTCTACACGCAGCATGCAGCAAAACACAGGGAACAATTCAAAACACATCTTTGGTGCATCTTGCCTCTGCCACAACTTATGTTCACCCGCATAGCAACATACCGCCGACATCATCTCCTGGCCTTCTTCAAGCCTTCATGTCTGGTACAGTATGTTGGAGGTTCTCTCTGTAGGTCCTTCCCTGAAAACTTCCTAGTCTCCAGAAAGCAGCCACTTCTACAAAAGTCTCAATACGACTTGCACACAGCCCTTGTCCCCGGGAACAGCGCTGCACACTTCTCATTCGTAAAGCCCCTCAGAAGCTCACTCCTGCACCCGAAAATGCACTGCAATCCAGTCAGCCATCCGTCTATATACACCGTATACCGCAACAACAATAACGAAAACAACAACAACAACAACAACAACAACATCAAGCCCCAACCCGGTACGGGCAGCAAGCACTTACCAAGAAGCCATTCTGCGGGTCACAGAGCTCGAACGCTCCCTCGAGCACAGGACACTGCTTCCCTGCGCCCCTTGTATAATACCCGATCCCATCCGCCGCCACGCACGCGCACTCCCACTGCGCCATGCAACGCGAGTCCTGTCTTTCAACAATCTCCCTCTCCACCACTATTACCTCCCCCATTGTCGTCTTCTTCTGCCTCTTCTCCCCCGGATACGCGTCCGAAGGTCCCGCACACATCGACCCCGCGCAGTCGGCGCACTTGCCAATAGGAACTTGAACCATATTGCCCAGCATGCACACCAGATTGCCGTTTTGGCAAGTCATCGTCATCATTTGCATCGGACAGGTGGGGCCGTTTGGACATTGGAGTCCAAGGATCGGTTCAGGGAGTTGAGGGGTGGGGGCCGGATGGGAGGTGACGGGCGTGAGGAAGAGGAGGAGGAGGGTGGACGGGAGATGCATTTTGGAGCTGCACGTGGGTAGGTACCTATCGAATCGAATGAATGGTGCACGCAGGTGTGAGGTGGAGAGACGACGGATCCTTCGGTTTTGGGAATGCTTGAGGGTAAGTTGCGGACTTATAGACAAAGGAGAGTGGCCATGAGCCTCCTGGGTGATGGCTGGGAGGATGATTGCAATTCTCGGCTTTGATCCGATAGGGCGATGGGAATCGGGAAAAAGGGGATTGATTATAAATATAGTTGACTAAGATAGTTGACATTAACATTATAAGTTTCGGGAAATAAAATCGGCATTCGGAATACATACCTAGGTCTCTCTATTCTGAGGCATGGGGGTCTGGCGGCTACGAATATCAATATATGCACGAGGCCGCGAGCAGAACCTGAGACCGATTCTACTTGGGTTGGTGGTCGGTTGGTTTATATTAGATTCTCTCCAGAACTGTTGTTCTTGCATTAAAGAGAGACATCCCCTAACAGAATATGTACCTAGTAGAAGTAGTACGGACGAAACTGCTTAAAACGGATAATTAGCTAATGACAAATCAACAATAGCAATACCAAGCCCCGGAGATATCCACATGTTCCGAAGGGACGCCCGCCCTCTCGTCCCGCAATACAGCCAAAGCCTCAGGTCTAGCAACGAGTATTCAACATATCTCAAATAGAGCATATTGAAAAAAGGAGTGTTCGTGCCACCTTTCCTTCACCAGTGTTACTTGACTGACAGTTTATCCTTGCTCTCCAGAACAGATCAGTGGCGGGGGGACCAAGTGAAGGGGTTCTTATCGGGCCCGTCACGAGCCTTCGCCTTGGCCTTTTCACCAAGTGCCTCCCTTGTCCAAATGAAGGGCTGAGTCCTATCATTGGGCCAGTCACGGGCCTTCACCTTGGCCTCCCCACCACGTGCGTCCCTTGTCCAATGGATGGCTGACTGCTACCTTCAGGCCAGTCACGGGCTTTCACCTTGGCCTCCACATCGGATGCTTCCCTTCCCCAAACGAAGGGCTGGCTGCCATCATTGGGCCAATCACGGGCTTCCAATGGCGTATTGGTAGCCCTCTTGGAAAGCTCGGTGTTGCCCGAGGGCCCCGTCGGTAGGCAATCGCCGCCGGTGGCGATGAGGACGGTGACAGGAAACGAGATTCTTGAGAAGCGCATTGTCTCTGGGATGGACAGAGGCCTTTTTTTTCTCTGCCCGTGTCTCTATTAGCTTGGTGGGAAGGAGAGAAAGTACATCCTTTATTACAGAAGGCACCTACTGAGGAAGAGGAATTTGCTTCTGGGGAATCTGGAGCGGGAGTGCTCTATGTCTGAAAACGGGTAGTTTGTATGTGTGGGTCTTCTCTGTGGGATAGAAGATAAAAGAAATGTTTTGGATCAAGAAGAGATTGGCAGGCTTAAGTGCTTTCCCTCCCTCGAGACTTCTATTACCTCTGCCCCATCACGGCCCCCCAATTGCCTGACCTCCATCACCTCTTCCCCTTTACAAGATCTGTTCAGTCTGCCTTGTGACTGATACTGTATGGCTCCGTCCTCGGGCATTCCGTCCAGGCCGAATATCCTCATATAGATTGGAGTGAGACTCAACGCCGTGACGGTATTGGCGTCCGTATTTGGCAAGGTTTGGGTCAAGGGGTTACCCATGCAATGATTTATCCCTTCGTCAGCAAGACGCGTTTGAGATTCTAGGTCGAAGTTGGTCTCGAGCCTCGCAACGCATAAATTAAGCCTGATGATGTCTTGAAGTCTCTAATCTTTATTGACGGTGGGCATGATTGAACTCCACGGCAAGGCCAACAGTGTAGCGACTTTGGTTCCACCGTAGGCGGCATCTTCAGCTGGAAGTGGCAGGTGCCATTGAAACAGAGGGACACTATTGGCTCAGACGCATTTGATGTGGATGGCGGGATGCAAAATATTGCGGTGGTAGGTATTGTTACTTGATGCATGCAGTCCGGGGGTCTTCACTGGAGCATTATACGGGCAAACTACTGGATATGTGAAGACTTCTCATAGTAAGCAAGTAAGAATCCATCCTACTTCAGTCTTCCCATCAATACAGGCTTGAAGCCCGTGGCTTTATAAGATGAGGCTCAATGGCGAGATACCTGCTCTAAAATAGAAGTCTCCGAGTCGTTTTACGAAGCAGGCTATCCCACCAGGGTCGGGTTCTCTGTAGCATGTAGTCCATCACCCCGTCAGGCTGTGACACAGACCCTTCTGTATGCCGCGTGTTGTGCCGTAGACCCGATCACCTATACCTCACCGTGCCGTGTGCTTTGTATACACCAGCTACTCGGTTCTATCCATGCGTTGTGCCGGCCCCGGTATTGATGCGGACGGTCACATAGGATATGGTTGGGTGCCAAGACGTCACCGGTAGAACCAGACCCTATCTCATGAAAACTGCGTCTATAATTACTTTACGGCTTTGGGTAAGCATACAACAAATGAGGCACTCGCTTCCTCTAAGACCCTCGAGTCTGTCTTAACGCTGACCTCGATCTAGGCAGACGAGCATCCATATCCTTCACTAGAGGCACATTGAAATAAAGCGGGAAAGCTTCCCTTATGTGACACCAGAGTAACAATACCTTGGACAGCAGCTGGAAGCTGGGGAACAATTAGTGTTGTCTTGGACTCTTGCGTGCTCAGGGTCTAATCATGAAGCCTCAATATTTCGCGAGGAATTATACAATCACGTGACTGTTCGATATTTCTGTTATTATTTCAGCTTCAGTCAAGGGTATAGTGTATAGTGCACCATCTCGAGGCTTTAAAAGGGTTTCACGTGAGACACAAGCGTGGCCTAAAAATTGAGTGGGGGAGAGGATCTATTCCTGGTATATTCGAGTAAGACTTAGAGTGTATAGAAATTCCAGGGTCGATCATGTCAAAGCCAACGTGATTAAATCTGAGCAAGGAATTTGAGCTTATCGTCGTTGTTTGGTGATGATGACGAGAGAGTAGGTCGGCGAATCCTATTGGACCCCGGACCCGACCCCGGCGCCTGCCGGATCAGCCCTGTGCAAGCCACTGACCAAACCCCAGTGCCTCCGTAGCCTGCTGTGGCTGGCTTCCGGCGGGGTTCCGTCGTCCTGACGTGTCTCCACTGCCCACGCAATCTACCTTAGCCGTCGCACGCACAGTGAAGCTGCTGCAGCCCATCCCGCATCCCGCGTTGCCAGCCAACCCGCCTGGGCAACGTTAACGTTCACTTTGAACTGCATTCAACAACCTAAACCCGTCTTTCTGCAGCGCCGAAGCCCTGGTTGGCTCCGGTCTGTAGCTTTCCAATCCTCTCTGTCGGTGTTGTTAACCTGCCGCTATTGTCCTCGAGTCCAGGTCCGCTTACTTCGTCGACGCAATTCAGCTTTGCAACACTAGACGACTTCCCGACCAAGCATTCGCTCCGGCTCCATTGCATGTCTCCCCACAGCCAACCGACAGACCCTCCGAGCCAGGCTGGCGTGTCCGAAAATGCGTCAACAGCAAAGGATGGAGAGGTAGCATCCCCCTCGATAGACATGATGAACGACCTGCCTGGCGCCTCCAAAGTCGAACCGACCATCCTCGAAGCCACCGTCAAAATACCGGAAGATACAGCTGCTGAGGAAGACCTTTTGGATTTGAACTCAAGTGCGCCTTCAGATGCAGGAGAGGCGGTTAAGATTGAGGAACAATCTGAAGAACCAGACAAGAGCACGAGCCACGACAGACAGCACGAAGAACCGATAGATTTGATGTCCTCCTCGATTGCGACCCTCAAACCAACTACTTCCCCCACCACCACGACCGCCACCCAATACCTCACGATAGAGTCAAAGACATATGTCGACCCAACTCCTCAAACCCCGGCGCCTTCGCAACCCCCCTCGCGGTCGCCATCAAACGCTGCGCCCAGGTCAAGAGGCGAGCTCTCCCCGACACGATCTGATGGCGCATACGACGATAGGAGATACACGAGCGAGGATGAGCAGGAAA